ATGGTTGAGCATATCCACCACCACTACTACCACATGTTGGAGGTGGAGGACATGGGCTAAATTTGGAACTATCAAACAAAACAAATATTTACATAGTATTTTGGGTAATCAGTACAAATATTATGACTATAGTTAAGAAACTCTACTGAGAATTCTTTCAATTTTACTGAGTACTCCTCAAGTTATGAGCAATTTCATTAATTTTGATACCAAGAAGATATGGAACAATTTCAGTGTAAATCTCATGCAACTATTTAATTTCCTGAGAGATGGATCATTGTAATAATCTACTTTAATCTTTTATTACAGATTTACAAAAAAATCCGTAATATCATTCTATTAAGTCAATTCTCGACTAATAAGATATTTTAAAATCTTTGAACAAGAACACAAGAATTATTTTATTCAATGAAATATCAGTATTAATCCTATTATGATTCAACTGATGTTCAATTCAGTTGAATAATACTAGAATGGAAAATTACCGCATATCAGTGATAGAAAAAAAATGCTTCAAACATTTTGAATATGCTTTAGCATACATTGTTGTCAGAATCTTCATGTTTAACGACGAAGCAATTTTATTTTTCCTAAGCAAAGATAAAATCTTACGGTGGTGGTTGGCACCCACAACCTCCAGAAGCGCCACCAAAAAAAATTGCAAGTGAAGAATGAAAATAACAAAGGGTAAGTAATATTACGTTTCTCACAGCGCTTCCCATAATTTTAAACGCACTCCAGCTGTACGCTAATCACAATAGCTAAACAAACTGATTCAGTTAATTGCCAAAACCTTATCATTAAATATGGCGGAATTGATGTTTTCATGAAACTGATTCCATCTATTGCTTATATTAAGATCCATAGCCGCAGGGCAAAAGTAACTTGAAAAAGTTGCAACTTTAATTCAATATAACTAGAAGTATTGCGATAAGGGATGAAAATATTCTTATCATTACTTTTTAGTGATAATTCATTCTATCGTTGTTTCTGTTGTTCTGATCATCAAAAGTAATGTTGTCAAGTTGCATTCATTGTTAACTTGTCACATTATCACTACTACTAGTGCCCAATTATCAGTCATCACTACTACTGACTGTACATATGTTTATGTGTACTCTTTTTGTAACCATAAAATAAATTAGCAACTTCCATTGCATCTTTATAATTTTAATCATAATTAACTGGTAATTCTCCTTCCCTTTTGTGATATTACACACAGACCAGTTTTGTCATTAATTACCAATCATATTATCCCAAAACTTGCTGTTGAAGATATTTATTATGCGATGCTCTGAATTTTATATCATCAACACTTTATTCTTGTAATCTTTGAAATTAGCAACTGCAAATAAACGGAAAAATGAAATTTATGCATTAATTTGCAAAATTTTCACTTACTAATTCTTAATCACTTATTTCTTCCCCATACATTTACTACAATAATTTAAATTCTATGAAACTTCATTAAAAATTAATTATATTACAAAATTGTAATTTAGCTGGTACCAATTTCAAATTATTTAAAAGCAAATAATTTTGAACTCGAATAAGTTGAATCAATCAATGTTCATAGTACTGTATGAGTATTTCAAGTTTACATGTTAAATTTTTCACTTTCATATTTGTGGAGATTGGTAATCATTATAGTTTTGACTACTATTAGCATAATTCCTCAGCTATATTCGCAAATTCTGTCGTTAAATTTTCAACCAAAATACTTGTAATTTTTGTATTTAAAGAATTGCAAGCGATTAATTTCAACAAATATATCAATTAATCTGAAATTCAAAATGATAGAGAATAGTAATTGATATATAAATATAGAATGCATTTAGTATCATCATTCTTTTAGATAGTACAGTATAGTCTTTCGATAGCAACGGGTACATTTTCATACTTTTGAAGACCAGCTGGTATCATCCAAAATCCTTGTTCGGTACATCGTGCCAGATACTCTTCCGCAAAATCAGGCCAACGATGGTGATATACGTGAGATCTACCTGCAGGTTTACGTTGATCCCATAACCTTTGCTCTCTGCAATCATTGAAAACATTGACTGTAATTATTTTTTCCCCATTTGCATTGCTTAAGATCATGCAGGCAAAATACATTTCTCAATTAATGAATTTAAGGAGTAAGACCAAACCCAGTTTTGAGATTTGTACCGTGGATAAGCAGGAAAGCACCAGGACAAATGACACGAGCTACTAAGCAATGACGTCCTGAGTAATACACGATTTTTGGATAAAAGCAAACTTGACGCAGAGGCAAGAAGCCACAACCCGTCTCATTTATTTTCGGGCACATATGACATTCTACAAAAGCATGCGTAGAATTGAAGAAACAAATGCTTGTTCCCAGTTAACCAATCATTCGCAGTCGTAAAACTTACTTCACTTTCAAATCTATTTTTTTCTGATCAATCTTCCCGTTCATTAGCTTCAAAAATTGATACACATATTACTACTATATAACAATAGATTAATCAAACTTAAGAGTCATGATAATTTATAAAATAATTATTTTAGTTAAAGATTTCGACAAATTTATTTTCTTAAGTACCAGAAATATTGTCATCATTCTGTTATCATGATCATGATTATTATCATCGCAATGATCATTATTATAATTCAACGTTGCCTCTACCCCTATTGGGAGTTTCTTTTCGAAGGAATATCCTCTGTTAAAATCATATTTTCATATAAAGTCATTATTTCGGTTGATAACTTCTATAGTTTAGCTAATATTGGATAAAGTAATCACTATTATTATTATTATTATTATTATTATTAATTTATTATTATTATTATTATTAAAGAAACTAAAATGTTGATAGTATATCATACTTGAAGTTATTAATTCTATCAGTTTATTACTTGCCAGGTACAAATTCTTGTTTTGGCCCTAAAATTGGGTTTGCTTCCATTGAAATCGCTTCTTTCTTATCGTGGAACGGAAAGTGATATAAGCTCGTTACTCTACGTGATTCGATCAATGAGAATACAGTTAACAATAACGTAAACATTTGCGACACTGTAAATTGTGACCTGACAAACTTTGCAGTTCAGCTCAGTCTATCTAGTAAATAGGGAATAAATTTTTGATCTTCAGATAATATTCACTGCTAAATCTTTGATAAAGAAATTCTCACTTCATATTCATGACAATACCATTAATTATTTGAGTAGTACTGTATTTGCAATTTGATCAAATAACAACAACAATACAGCAGATAACTTTATGAAAAAAGGAAAATACTTCAGCACTATAATAGCAATTATATTGCAAAAAAGGGAAGGTCAAAGGTGAAATGGATTTACAGAGAAGGATATGGTCAACGTGTATTCTTGTCTTACGAATGAATATTGTTCCGTGTGCCCGAAAATATTTGAGATGGACTATGCTTCCAACTCCAACAGTCTTTTCACTGACTGGGGCAGTTCTGTTGACTGAACTGCCCTAACAAACAATCACTAAGTGATGCACCCTGACTCAGCAGATGACATTTTTCGACAGTCGAGGTCAGAGGTCGTGCACTATATTCTGTGCCACTGCCCAGAGACAAAATAACTACTGCACATGATAATACTATTGTTTGATCCACATATCTAATGCAATTAAAATGCGATTTTGCTGAAACTTTTCAGAGCTATCATATATCTATTGTAAATCAAGTGAATTAATGACTGGGATGGAATCAAAAACCCCATGTCAACACAGAGAATCTTTCCTGCAGTATGCTCCCTTCCTTCCATATTGTCAATCTTTTGGTTTCTTGTCTTACAAGAATGAATAAAGATGCACGAAGTTACCAACTTTGTTTACTTCAATATTGTAATTATTTTCTACGCTTAATTAAAAGCATAAAAAATCAACAACTCTACTACTTTCACCTGTTGAAGCATTTATTAATTCCTTACAAAAATATTGGTTGTAATTATTTACGGAAAAACTTTCAGCTTCCACTAATAGAATATTTGTAAGATTTAGAAACAGAACTAAGTGGTATCATGAAGAAGAAATCGTTCTTAAAAATTTTCAAGACACCATGAGTATGCAATTAAGTCTTAAAATAACAACCTTCTTATTTGCATTAATTGAGAAAACAATTTTGATTAATCTGATTTCTGATTTTACAGCATATCAATACTCACTAATTCTTCATCATTTTATACAGCTCATTACAATAATCAATTTTTTTTTTAAACTCTGTAAGCTTACAAAATTCGAACCTTCACTGATTTCTTGAAAATTTCATTACAATACTTTTTATGAATCAGTGACAGTACATTCATCTTATAAATTTAATCCTAAAGCTTGCAAAAATGAAAATTTGTCTAAGTGATAGAATTTTTAGAGCCAACTGAAACCTTTATATAATAGATGTGCTTTAGCACCACAGGTAAACTTTTATTTTGGTGGTAACCAACGACAACTAATCATGTCAACGAGTTTGAAAGCTGAAATGATGCATATAAGAAAACTACCACATCTTTCTTTGACATACCACAGCATTTACAAAATCATTTTTCTTCAAAGTAACAGTTCTCACCACCATCCTCCTGAATATGGCATGTCAGAAAAATAATTAAGGATTAAATAGGAAAGTACTATGATAACATGTAATTAATGAAACATCATAATCGGATCGGAATTTTAATTCTTCTGTTGCATATGTACATGAAATTTTACTACTGGCAAATTTTCTACCGATGATGTCACCACGCAGTTGATTCCGAGATTGTACAGAGCGCCTCTGAAAACGTTACAATATTTGATGGAAAAAATGAATATATGAGAAAGATAAAGTCAGACAAAGTATGGAATAAAAACTACCTTACAATACCGCATGGTAAAGCTAAATATATGGCAGATGTTTCCACATATTGTTTTCCTGCTTCGAAATCAGAAAAGATGAAAAATTCATTGTCTTGCATAACATACACTCCCTAAAATGAAGTAAAACATAGTTTCATCTCTTCAATATTTCCGCTGGAGTTAATAATAAGATACAGACCGAACAATAAGATTACCTGATGATTAGTGCGCAAATTATCGATTTGTTTACCAAATGCAGCAGTCCAAAATTCTTTACAAAGAAATTTCATTCGCTCTAGTTCACCGTTCATTCTGCAAGTAAAGATAACAAATGATTGTCAAAAGAACAAGCAAACAAATAAACATAACTCTACACTGCGATCAAGCAAGGAAACTTCATTATAAAACCTTGGTATATCTTTGGCAATTTTCTCAACAAGCACAAAACCAACACGGTAACCCATAGCTTCTAGACGTGTTTCAGCGTTTCCCTGCAATTGCACAACAATTAATTCCATGCTTATTTCAACAAGAAAGTTATTGGAATAATATTCCAATAATAGCTGATTTAAAACAAAACTAGAAAAAGTCCAGAAAATTTGAATTTTAGAAAGATAATTTTTATATTTTTATTATGCACCTGTATGAAGACTTGTTTCACTAAACTCAACTGTTTATTCAACACTTGGTCGTCTAATCTCGGATATAACCGCATTTGCTCCATCCAATCTTTTCTTTTTTCATTTTGTTCAATCTACAAAATTATTTGTGCACGAGAAAGTCTAACTTGATTACCAAAATTTGATTCCTTCAAGTCTCACTTACACTTATTTCATATTTGTTTAATGAAATTCACTAAATTTCAAAAAACTGTTCTGAAAAATATTGATAATCTGAATTTTTAAAAAAGTTCAGAGAGGGAAACTTTTGTGAAGTTACTTCACGCTGTTTTTCGTATTGTATTATCTCGGCATGTAAAAATTCAAAAACGAAAGATGTAGATATCGGAGAGTTCATTGTCTCATGCCCAAACCGAATAGTTATTAAGTGCGATCCTGAAAAAGTTGAGCAGAAGATACGCAACCAATCGTTCTCGAGTTCATTACTTAGTTTTCGTGGATGGTCAAGTATAACTATCAAACACAAAGAGTAAATTCATGACTATTTTAAAGACCATCAGTAATCAAATGCTCTGACAAATAGTTAAACGACTACCTCTCTTACTATATGCTGTTCATGTTTTTCAATAGTTTCTATAAAACCTCCCTAATCATGTGCTCATAATTTCAATATCAGTTATTAAAACATATTCAGACTACAACCCTTTATTTCTTCGCCATCTATAACAAGACAAATACTGAAAGACAGTAAAATGAATTTCATCGCTACTTGATATCTGCATCACAACGTCTTTTGAAAAAACGTTTACTTCAACAAGTTAAGTACAGAAACTAACTACATTACATAACTGACAATTGAAAAGAGATCGTGATTTCCGAATACTATTTAAAACCGACACAGAATAACTAATAACGCAATGAGCGATCTTCATATTGAAGCATGAACTTATCTATAATCGCAGAAATGAATCAACCCATTTATTCTAATTGAATCTATTACACCTAACAGAAGTTTCTGAAATCATATTTTGCAATTCTCGGTGAATAAATATCATAACAAATTCAGTCAAAAAATTTTTCCTAAAAACTAAAGCGTTTTTAAGGACTTAATAAGAACTACAATTTCAAAATAATTTATAAGTAACATTAAAACACATTTCCATAGTGAGCGAAAAATTACAAATTTGATATCAAATACTGAATCACCTCTAGCTCACTAAGCATTGAACTTGAATTAACAAGTGAACGACTAGACCAAAGTTTCTGCTTTACAGCACGAAAAACGAAAATTACTTTAAAAACTCGAAATATAATAAGAGCAGGAACAAACAAAATTTTTCGAGTGATGGACTTAACTTCGACGTAGTTTACGCAAATAGAAAGTCAAATATGCAGAATTCAGAGTTCCCCTTGATTTTTTGCTCATATCCTTCCTCAGTTTCTAGTAGTGCAAAGTAATGTAGTAGGAAAGTAGAAAGACTACGACAGAATTCAGCATCTCTCTTAGCTATTCTTTCGCTTGAAACCTTCCTGGGTATCCTTAGTAGTTAGCGTTCACATGATGGACGAAGCAAATCAAAAACAAAAAATCAGAAACAGTTTCTTGATTTCTTGCTCAAACATTTTCCCGTACTCACCAATACATCAATAAAAATGATGACATTTTGTCAGGCGATTTCTGCGTGAATTTTTTTGCTGTCTTGTATACCAAGCATTCTGCAAATTTAAAGATTTACGTGTTGCAGCAAATAGGAAAAGAAAAAAAAATTTTTTCTCAAGATGAAAAAAGTATCATTTACTTTATGTGCAATTATTTTCACAACTTATATGATAAAACAATAAGCATTTGGTGGAATAAACAAGTGACAGTATTTGTCACACTAAAAGAGTAAATAACACAGAAGTTTGAGCAATAAATTTCCGGTACAATGCAACCATCAAAAATTAAAAAAAAGTCAAATACTGAATAAAATCTGAAATATGCAACTTAGTTATCTACAAATCCTTATTCTTAATATAAATTATAATAAGATTTCTGTTTCACCAGAAACAAATATCTAAGTACAAAAAAAGAAAAACGAATACACATACTACCGCAAGCCTCAAAAATACATTCATAATAGCGACAAGAATTACGCAATTTTTTGGGTTTATTACTTTTACCTGTCTAGTTCTGATAAACAATGAATTTGGGGCTTTTGAACAATAAACAAGATACCAGTACACATAAGATTTCGATAACACTAGTAAGTTTTTTGAAACGAAGATGCATTCTGTACTTTATACCGAAATTCAAACGTGTAATTTGTAACTTCTTGAATTCATTACATTTTCGAATAAGACAGTTCTAAAAATATGCTTTACATAATGAAATTAAAAGGTTGTAGATAACTAAGAATTCACATAAAAAAACAAAGATTAGAGACTAAGAAACATTAATATAATAAGAATTATCTTGCAAAGCTACTGGTGAAAATGATAACTTTTTAAATTTCTATCGCTGCACCCAACACAAAAACATAATTAAGCCAACTCATAGTATTTCCCTTTCCTCTAAACTTCATCTATTATGACTGTAGAGCCATTCTGATAAATATTAAGAAATATTAATCAGGACACCAAAAGATAATTCTTAAACTATTTCCAAAAGTTCGATTTTTTTTCGTAAATACAATTGTTCCTTATTTGATTACATAAATCTGGTCAAGGCAAATTATGAGCTTAAAAGCCAACAAGAAAAATGTGAGGAGTAAGGGCGATAAGATTATCATGTGAAAAAGTGGACACTGTTCATTTATTAAATATTTAATAAATAAACCTTTCTGCTGTTAAAAGCATCCTTGATGAACAGTTTCGAATCCAACTATTTCAGGATCTTATAAGTAATGTTAGGAATTTAGTAGAAGCAATATATTGCTTCTTCAATATAGCTTCCAAACATGAGCAGAATTATTAGCAGAATGCATTATTCTATTTCACTTAGCTTGATACTGGAGACATCATCATTGCAATTAAATCTTCATCGCTTATCTCCTCATCATTAGTAGAGACTCGCTTCGTTGAATTCGACTTGGCAACGGGACTACTAAAAATTTCAGATCCATTATTTAACCCCTGTAGTAAAAAACAAAAATATATATCACAAAAACAAATCAAAAAAGTGCAACCAACAATGACTCTGAATGTAAAAACAAATATACGTATCTATGAGTGACATTTACATGTGACAAAATCACCAGATGTTTAAAGAGCACTGAAAACTTAAACTGATAGAATATAAATAAAATATACCTTTCAAGAGCCAATTTAAGGAGTTCAGTATCACTATCGTCATCGTCACATAAACTCAATAACTTTTCGTCTGATTCTAATTTTCTGGAATAGTTCACATGTACTCTACAGCTGTAATATTCTAGCTTTAATTACAATTTCAATTTCGATGTACGAATGTATGAGTCATTATTTCAACCTATGATACTTCATGAATAAAATTAAATGCCATACTGTAATACAAAACATTTCACGATATCCCTAGAACAGATTTTTAATTTTCACAAAAAAATAAACGAGATTTGTCTTGCACAACTGACAATATTTTAGTAATGAGATAATTTTTGAAGTCACCTGGAAGAAGAAACTTGATATGATACTGATTGATTATGATTTCCAGTGTCTACATAAATACTCGATTTTACAGGTTCTGACTGTTTCTGAAAGACATTAAACTTCATTCTCAGTCACTTTTGTCTATTTATGTTTAAAACCATCACTACTGGTAATAGATCCATTAGATTAAGCAATTACAGTATGTAAAATGCCTTTTCCAGTTCTAAAATCTTATTCTAGAAGCTTTATTGAGGAGATAAAAATATGCTTTCCAATACCTACAAAATACTCGAAACTCTGAAAAAATGCATTGAGGCGGTGTAGAATCATTCTTTTTCTTACACAGCTACAAGGATTTTTTATATATGTGTATTTGCTCTTGTACACAGCACAAAAGAAAGCGTAGTCACGAGAAAACTTATGTCAAAAAAAGAGAAATCTGAATAAAAGAATCTACTTTAAGTAAATCATCTTGAAACAATGATACTTCACTCAAAATTTGAGATTGAGGATGCTGAAATCTTTCAGAAGTTTGACATTCTTCACGCTTCAACTGGTGAAGCATTTTTTTTCGTTTCTCGTTTTTGATTTTATCTGCAAGCACACAAAGCTTTTAAGAGTACACAATCTTAGTTGTTTATATTTGCAATCCAAGAATTCGACAAAGATTTCACTTAAACTAGCTTACTAATTAATCTAACGTTTGCTAGATCTAAATTTGTTAGATTAATTAGCAAACTAATATAAGTGATTTAATTAATGCTAATTTTAAAATCCCACAGACAGAGCTGAATCACAAACTGTACTACCAATTGCTTGTCTGGTTTTTCTCACAGATTTTTCATAACGCTTTACAAATGCTAGACGTTTCGCTTCTTCCCGTTCTCCTTCTTCTTTGATTTTTGTATCCCTCTTCGGTTTCTTCAACTGCTCTAAAGTTCTAGGTGAAACGCTCACCAGAGCTTGATAGATTTCCGGATTACATGGTATTGGAGATAGTGCCCACTAAATGAACAAAATTATTATATTGAATCAATGCAGCAACAAAGTGATAGAATTTAACAAACTATTACATCAAACAATCAATTCGCCACCAAATTAGAATATTTACTAACAGTTAAGTTATTTTGTTTTACTTCATTCAAAGATTCCTAAATGAATTTTCAAGCTTACTGATGCATCAGCACGAATAGCTTCATCATCAAGACCTTGACCTCTTGTACATGAAAAGTATTCGTCTGCCTTCTCTTCAAACCAATCATCAAAAATTTTTTTCTCTACAAAAAGAAGCAAAATGCGGAAAAAATTATGCGCTAAATTTTTTTCTACTTCTTATGAATAACCAGATATATTTTTATATCAGTTTTATAAATGTTCCAAATAGAGAATAATTAGAAGTCAATAAAAACAATCATATTCTTACGATTTTAAATACTATCAGAATCTTTATAGGGTTAGTTAATCAGAAATTTTGACCTTCTAAATGATCAACATCTTCAAAATAACTAAAGCAAAAATTAACAAAGTTACGGTGAGCTGCTTTCAATTCTACTAATTTAATCTTTTACATTTCTAAGTTTTTTTCTTCCTCATCTGAATATTAATTATTGAGAAAAGTACCTTCTTCTGGTGAATTGGCTCTTCGGTGTTTATTTATTGGAGACTGCTCCCAAGAATAACTGTACAATGGCTTTCTAGGCCCTTCCATCACTTATGGCGTAATAAAACGTAATAATTAACACAGTTTGAAAATTAACAGAGCAGTGGTATGCTGATAACGCATAAGAAACAATCACAAGACAAGCAAGCTAATAATCATTGAATTTCAGATTTCAGAAATAAAGTTTTTGAGGAATTGGTGGTAATTATCAGTTTTCGGGCCTATCACAGATGAGCAATGACTGACTTATTATGACAGTGAAAGAGCCTTATATGCTGTATCTAAAATAGAAATAAATTGTACTAGCAGATAAATTTGTGTGCTATTTGACCACAGTGACCAAAAAAATTTACGAAAAAGTAATAGTTGATCATCATTTGTGATGAAGGTTTTCATAACGGCTTACATAAAGTGCGGTAAATCAAATAAAGGTAATCTTACAAAGAGGAATATCATTGCATGCGCCTATTAAATGTGATAATAAGATTTTTGTGAAAAAAAATCGCATAATATATAGATTGAGGAAATTGCGAATTATGTGGACAGTTCAAAAATTTGATAATAAATGAGTTTTATTCAATTCATGTGCTCTATTGTAGTAAATTTTGTAATTTTTAGTATTGATATCTTTTTTTGACACGTTTCATTTGACGTAAAAAAGCTACAATAAATGTGAAGTTTTATAGGTGATTAACACTACAAAAACGATTAAATTATTGCGCAAAGTATCCATTCACTGTGAAGTAAAAATAAAAATTAAGCTTGAGATGAATTTTCAAAGCTATTTTAAATGAGCAATAACTACAGCAAACTAATAATTGAACTTTAACCCTCTTTTACTAAGAACTTTTATTAGATTTGTTAAGTATAGTTTTTGATATTTTGAGTATTTGGATGAAATTTTTGTAATTAATGAAAAGCATATTTATAGAATACAGAATTATCACGTTGAATATGCAAGCAGCTGTTTTTGTATTGTAAAACATTTTTGTTATCAATGCAAGTTTTGCTTGTGCAAATACCATATAACATGAAGCCACCAGAATAACTATATCACAATCAATTACTTATAATATCATATCAAATAAATTTAGTACCAGCATACTTATTGTTAAGCAATGCACTATGTAATTTATTACTTGAAGTTTTACCAATTCTAAGTCAAAATTAGAAAGAAAACGATATAATTTTTCACATTAGACCTCTGAAAAATATAATACTTTTTTCTTCGAAAACTTTACTGAGTTATCTTTTTTATAAAAGCTATTCAATATGTCATCAGATCAAATCAGATCAGATCAGATCAGATCAGAACTAGATTTTTTTTTCTTCCATTTACACGCACAATGAAGCATTTTTTTTGCTTGAGAAGGGAAAACATAAAGAGATCAGCAAACACAAATTGATTATTTCAAGAGAAATATACTTAAATTAGAGAATAAATTAGTGAGTAGTATCAAACTAGCTAGCTTGTTGTCGTCCGTCTGGATCGAAACAGTTTATTACTGTTGATGGCTCTTCAAATCTTGGCATTCTTATTGCAACTTCGTATGGTGGAGGTGGCTCACTAGGTGGCATACTGCAAACAGATAAATTGGCCATTCCGTAGTCTTCTGTATGCACTACCATTTCTGTAAGGATTGAAACAGAACAGAATAAAAATAATTTAAACATATATATATATATAGCTTCACGCTAATCAATCTTACTAAGTAGTACGAGAATGCACAATAACGAATAAATTTTGTATACCACTAAGCAAGGTTAGTCTAATCACTATCAAATTTTTGTACTCCCTACAGTTGAAATTTTCAAATCGGTAGAATTATTAATATTTCTCAAGCAGAAGTATGTTTGACAGTTTTATTAGACTAATATCAAAAATCACTTTAGACACACATCAATGTTAATTTTAAGCTGTGATATTTTTTTTAATCCTTCACATTTAAGACAATAACTTATTATGTAAATAAATTTAACTGTCTCAATAACAAAACGTCAGGTTCATTTATCAATTTTATCAATTATTATGATAAAAAATTAGCATACCTTGTACTCGTTGCTCTACTTGTTCACTTCCCATGCGTTGCTCTAATCGACCGCTATACATCCGACATACAATTGTTACCAAAAATATTAAAAAAAATATTCCAACTGTCAAGCTAGCTGCTAATCCACTTCCAATGCTAGCTCGATCAGAAATCATAAATGCTTTAAACAAATTTACAAGTGATTACTATGGTAGTTATTATGATTCCTATTCAGTTATTCATAGTATAATACGGTATTACCGACTGGTATATTCATTATTATTACTTGCAGTTATAGTATAATTATTTCTTTACCACTCATTAACAGTAAACTTTGATTAGATTAGTCGTTCAGTACATGGGTAGATAAGAAATTAAGTAATAGTTCTGCACTGCGCACATTCAAGATTATACAGATACCTAAGTTACTCGATAGAATGAAAACAGTATCAAAGATGTTTGCTTTTGATAATAATAGTAATAATAATGTAAATTTGATTACTTGAATCACAATAGTAATTACAGTACTGTTTTCATACTATTGTAATGCGAATTCGTTATCACTTCTTATTGCAACAACCCTCAAAAAAGATCGTACATTTATTTTTAGTGCAGCCTGACTTCGTTACAAAGGAGTAAATGGTTTTATCAGTTCAGTGATAATGCGAAAATTTCGTTCTTGGAGAAATGATTTAAGATTAATTGTACACAAACATCAAATTGATTGTATGCTTCTGCATGTATGATTGCATAAATGTTTTTTGATTTTAAAGAATTGAAGGCTATTTTTTCAGAATCGCAAAGGAAAAAAGTCATTAAAATTAGATTGAAACAATTTATCAGTTTGAAAATTCATTTTTAAAAGACTAAACTTGTTATCAGTTTCCAAGTATAAACTTATTGCAACTGAAATCACTTTTTCAATTGATTTTATTCTAGCAAATTTTGATATTTATTATCAATAAAATACAATACAATTCAGTAAGCTTACTATTTTTAAATATTTTATGAAAGTTTTGGCTAGGCGTTTGCGTGTAGAGAACTATGTAAAGCACATTTAAATTTATCACTGCAGTGTGTAGTAACAAGCTTGAATACTTATAATTTTTCGAATTAACAATGTAAGGAAAAAAAAGAAACTTACTTCCATAGATATCTTCTATATAATATTTATCCCGTGAAATTGGCTTAAAAGTTGGCATGCCCCAAATTGTCCGTGACTTGCTTTGTGATAAATCTGTACACCATGGACAATTATAATGATATTCTCGGATTAATTTTTTGTTAGGAGTTGTAATCTCATCCACTGCCATCGTCACTTCTGAAATAATCTTTTTGTGCTATACATTTATTGTTAAAGTAAAATTATATGAGTAAAGCACATATAAAAATATATTCTTAGACTAGCATCAACCAACTATTAAGATGTAATTTGAAAAAAGAATATCTGAAAAATACGATATTTTCATTAAACTTGTATTTTAAACTGTAATTTGCATAAAAACACAGAAAATACGTAAAAGAGAGTAACGTCAAAAATTTTCTTATATTATTTTGATAAAATAAATTTATGTAAAGAAAAATGCAGATATTGCATAAAGTCAAATTTGCTTGCGATTTTGTTCAAATTCTTCTCTAGCGCAAAAACAATTTAATAATAAAAAATAAGTGAATAATTTATAAAAAATCTTTTATCCTTTGGAAATTTAGTTGAAATGAGAATACAAATATTGCTAATCAGAGGAATTTGATTATTTTTGACCTATATTATTTGAAATATTTCAAAGCATAAAAAGTTCTGGCACAATATGATTGAATTTCAATAACATAGATAAAATGTAATTTGCTAGTTGATGTGGAAAGTATTTCTGCTTTTAGAGGTTAGATTAGCTAATTATATTATCCATGTGGTAACACAAGAACATCTATACTAATTTTGAGCAACTAATTTTCCATATTAATTTTTGTTATTTAGACTACTAATTATTTTATAGCATTTTTTAGCTAATTAATTACTATAATTTAATGAAAAATGTATGCCATATCAAACTATAAAAGTTCCATAAGATTTACTTTTGCAGTTTTTTGCATCAATCAAACAATGACTAGTATCTTTGAGTACTGTATTTAACATTATTATATATAATTAAATTAATTCGTTTAATATTTTATTAAATGTAGGAGTACTTTGGATTTACTTTGAATTCACTTATAAGTGAAGCGATAATAGCAATTTATTCAACTGTGTTTTTATTTTTACTTTTTGGCTTTTAAAATTTATAACAAATTTTGAAAGAGAAAGCTCGTTGAAACGGATTACTTTTGATACATGTAAAAGCGAACAGATGCCAACAGTTTTTGACTTTAAACTCTCAGAAAAAAGTTTGGTTTTTTTAAAGTAATTTATCAAAGCAGTAATTAAGCGGTAACTTACTTGTTAAAGTAATAAACAAAAACATGTTGATGAGTAAATCATTATTTGTTGGCAGAGATAGCATGATTGGTGTCATTTCGTTAAGTAATAATAAATTGTAAATATATGGCAGTATGAATAACAATACAGTTTTAGCTTGCAGTAATGATAATGAAGCTTCAAAGTGTTTATTTTTATCAGTAATGATTCAGTACTTGGTGATAACAGCACAATAAATAACACGGTAGTGATGACTTGTGCAACAATCACTTGCAGTTTAATTTTGCCTTTAAAAATGGCACTCGAATGTTATAGTCTGCTCAATTTTCTGGTACCTTTTAAACTGTTGGAATCACTACAATACTTTGACACGTGGAAGATGTATACTTATTTCTTGTCTACATATTGTTGTCTTGAATTCTGACGTCTAAATGAACAGTTAGGATTCGGTAATTCTTCTACCAAGTTTCAATTATATTAGTAAGTTTTGATAGAACTTTAGCTTATCAAATTGTTTAATATGGCTTTCACTTATTCAGAATATTTCGATTATTTTCAAAAACAATAAAAACTATTACTTCCTAAGTTTCTGATATAATTTTGAAACTAGTGACTAGCTTATAAATTATACTGATAAAATTAACAAAAATGTAGCATATAATAAAACAATATTGTGCACTAACAAAATATTGCACTTAAAAATTGCTAATTTCAATTTAATATTTTTTCTACACTTTTAATATTTTTGGTTTTTTCTTAATCATAACATCGTATTGATTAAAATAGTATCTGATTACTAATCACTGACAATCGATTATAGCCTTCAAAATACAATATTACAGAGGGAAAGTTTTTTTCAAACGAAAGATGACGAATATTTTTTGAATGAAAAAAGTAAACATAAGTAATGCACTATAAATATCACAAATTAAGCATACGTGAAGAAATGTTAGTCACCTTTATTCACTTGAACTAGTTTGAATTACTATGACTGAGATAGTTTTTATATTCTAAAATAATTTGAAGTTAGCAAAAAAATCACTTGCTGACACACATTGCACACAGATAGATAGATAGCACAGCACAGCAATTTATATGAGCAGTCAGCGCTGGACTCGACAGTGACTTGACTTGACTTGACTTGACTTCTGAATGACAAATCACTCACTCCTACACTTCTTAACTTATTTGCAATTTTTAAATTTTATCATTTACTTTGGCATTGTGCAAAGTAAAAGTATGTACAAATTGCAATAAAATGTATTAAAGTTACTTCAACTTTTGTGCTTATGACAAGTGCTTCATTGTAAAAATAATCATTTATGATTTATTCTTAATTTTTAACTCTCAATTCACATTTATTCACTTTAATCCTTAATCATTCTAATTTTGATCTAATTAAATCACCTTAATTTTGATCTAAATAGTCATCCTAATTTTGATCTAAGCAGTTTTGAATTGGCTCTAATGTCGCCGAAATAGCAAAAGCCTTTTCTAAAATAGAAGTCATGTCTGGTAATTTTTTGAATTTGACACAAATGAAAAATTACGCTATTTAACCGTTGCAATTCATACACTAAGTGAAATTAGTACGAGAGTTAGTTGTAATTATTTTAAATTATATATTTTTAATTTATCATTCTTTCACAAATATCTACTTTCTTCTGCTTCCATTCAATATATTTAATATTGTCAAGTATAGATATATATATTTTATGGTTATATAAAATGACAATTGATAGACAGTACAGAATATAAACAAAAACTAAGCATAGTTTGCCAAACCGAATTATATGTACATAATATTCCAGAGTTGATTATTGTTATAGCTCTGAGAGCTCATTTTTTAATATCAAGCAAGTATATGCAAATT